TAAGGTACGACGTGATGGAATTAATTTTATAGAGAACAGGGTAACGGATAATGTGCTACCCTGTGGAACTCCATTATCCTGAGAAAAGGGATCTGAAAAAATGGAGCCAAGTCGAACCTTAAACGTCCTATCATGTAAGAAATTGGAGATGAATAATGGCAATCGTCCTCTGAGACCGAAGTCAAAGAGATCACGAAGAATGCCATATCTCCAAGTGGTGTCATAAGCCTTCTCCAAATCAAAGAATATGGCTACAAGATGTTTATTTTGGATGAAGGCATCCCTGACAAACGATTCAAATCTAACGAGATGATCAACAGTGCTCCTTTGGGACCGAAATCCACATTGGAGGTTGGTAAGAAGATTGTTTGACTCAAGGTGCCAAACGAGCCTTCGATTGATCATTCGTTTCATGGTTTTACATATGCAGCTGGTTAATGCATTAGGGCGGTCATTAGGATCTTTACCAGGTTTAGGAATGGGTACAATGGTAGCGATCCTACAAGATGGAGGAAATACACCGTCATCCCAAATCTGGTTGAATATACATAAAAGTTTTTTTTAATGTTGGTTAAGGGAGATGTTTGAGGATCTAATAATGTATATCATCAGGCCCAGTAGCTGTATCATGAGCCTGTTTCAAAGAAAACTTTAATTCCGAGATCGTAAATTTATCATTATAATATTCCTCGTTTTTTGATGCCAAAATTAAGTCTTTTCCTCTCTTCCCTGAGTTTCACTCTCCGAAAAGCATCCGAGGAAAAGTTAGAGGAAGAATTATAAGAAAAATTATGGCCTAAGGAATTAGCAATATCTGGAAGAGTAGTGAGAGTTGAACCATCTACCTCTAAATGGTTCACAGATATTGTATCCGCTTCACCCTTGATCCTACAGATCCTATCCCAGACTGATTTGGAAGACGTGCGACTGTTGATCCTTGAAACATACTCCTGCCATGACGACCTCTTTGCTTGGCGGATAGTCCGCCTGGCTTTCGCCCGTGCAATGCGGAAAGAGGCCATGTTGTCAGCGGTAGGAGAACGTTCAATCAGTCGCAGAGCACGATTACGTTCTTTAAGTGCTGTCTTGCAGTCTTCGTTAAACCATGGTTTATTGAATCGTTTTGGAGTTGTCGAGGTTTTACGAATCGCCTGACCCGATACATCTTGTAAGATGCCATATCTGATAGTATAGATATGGAGGCTTCCGAGGTTGATGCGGAAGTTCTTAACCCCCCTTACCGCAAACCTCGTAGTCCAGTCAA